CCCATAGTTTCTGATATTCTATTCATCCGGGCGCCGCCAAGATGTATCAGGACTTGCGGCAGCATTATTGGTGGAGGAGGATGTAAAAGGATATTGTTGCATATGTAGCTCGGTGTCTAAATTGTTAGCAAGCAAAGTACGAGCATCGGAGACCTGGTGGTCTGCTTCAGAAGATAGAGATTCCTGAGTGGAAGTGGAAGCATATCACTATGTATTTCATTGTTGGACTCCCACGGACTCAGAGGAAGTTCAGTACAATTTGAGTTATTGTGGATCGACTAACCAAGTCAGTGCATTTCATTCCTATGGTAGTTTCCTATTCTTCTGAGTGGTTGGTAGAGATTTATATCCGTAAGATCGTTCATCTTCACGGTGTGCCCGTGTCTATCATTTCTGATCGAGGTACGCAGTTTACTTTGCACTTCTTGAGGGCAGTCCAACATGAGTTGGGTACACGGGTTGAGTTGAGCACAACATTTCATCCTCAGACGGACAGACAATCTGAGCGTACTTTTCAGATATTAGAGGATATGCTCTGCGCTTGTGTTATTGACTTCGGAGGCTCTAGGGATCAGTTATTGCCGCTAGCGGAGTTTGCCTACTTTAACAACTATAAGTTGAGCATCTTGATGGCTCCCTATGAGGCGTTATATGGTAGACGGTGTCGGTCTCCAGTGATGGATTGAGCCTGGGGAGGCTCGGTTATTGGGTATAGATTTGATTCTGGATGCCTTGGCTAAGGTTAATATCATTCAGGATAGACTTCACACAGCTCAGTCCAGGCAAAAGAGTTATGCAGACCGTAGGGTTCGTGATGTGGCATTCATGGTCGGAGAAAGATTGTTGCTTCGGGTATCACCCATGAAGGGTGTAATGTGGTTTGGAAAGAAGGGCAAGTTGATCCCTAGGTGCATCGGGCCTTTTGAGATCCTTAAGAGAATGGGAGAGGTGGCCTACAGACTTGCGTTGCCACCGGGCTTATCAGCGGTACGTCCAGTGTTTCATGTGTCCATGCTTCGGAAGTATCACAACGATCCATCCCACGTGTTAGATTTCAGCACTGTCTTGTTGGACAAGGATTTGACCTACGAGGAGGAGCCGGTAGTTATTCTAGACCTACAAGTTCGTCAATTGAGGTTGAAGAGTTATTCTTCAGTTCGAGTGTAGTGGAGAGGTCATCCTACTGAGGTAGCTACCTGGGAGTCTGAGTCTGATATGCAGAGTAGATATCCCCACATTTTCTCCAGCTCAAGTACTTTTCTATGTCCGGTCGAGGACAAACGATTGTTTTAGAGGTGGAGAATGTGATGACCCAAAAGGTCATCTAATGATTTAAAACTAAATTCTGTGTTTCGAGGCCTTAAAAACAACATTTTATCCCTCCTCGATTTGTCCGAGCATGATTCCGAAAAGCTTCTATGTTGAAAGTTGGTGGAAATAATAATTTTTGCCTTTGAAAGTTGATGTAGATAACTTCGGTCAACGTTCTGAGTAAACAGATCCAGACTCGTATTTTTACAGTCACGGTGGGTCCGTATCGAAATATGGGACCTGGGATGCCCGAAATCGAATTTCGAGGTCCATAGCTCGAGAAATGAATTTTTGATGAAAATTGGAAGTCTGAAAATTTAATGGTTAAGGAATTGATTAATGTTTGATCTCGTTCATATCGGGTCCGTATTTTGGTTCTGGAGCCCGGTATAGGTTCATTATGATATTTAAGACTTGTCTATGAAATTTTGTGGAATCAGAGTTGATTGACGTGATTCGGACGTCTGGTTGAGAAAATAGAAATTTCAAATTGTTCCTTGAGAATATCATTAAATTTTGTGCTAAATTCGTAGTTATAGGTGTTATTTTGGCGATTTGATCGCATAACAAGTTTGTCTGATGTTTTAGGACTCTTGTGCATGTTTGGTTTGGAACCCCAAGGGCTCGAGTGAGTTTCGAATAGGCTATAGGATGTTTAGAACATAGAAAATCTGGTGTGAGAGGGATGTATCTGGTGTGTGACGCATTGTGCTTCGCGATCGCAAAGGGGACACTGGGCGGGGGAGGATTTTACTCTACGCGAACGTGAGACCAGGGTCACGAACGTGAAGCATTTGGGGGAGTTGCTCTACACGAATACGATCGGTCGACCGCGAACACGTAGCTTTAGATCGCGGGTCTGGGGACCTGGGAAACCCTATACGAATGTGAGACCTGTCTCGCAAACTCGAAGGTAAGATGAGCTTAACCTTCGTGAACGCGTAGTGCTTCCTGTGATCGCGTAAGTCCTTATGAGGCTGCACTTCGCGAACGCGACAGTGTTCACACGATCGCGATTAACACGGTCGCCCAGCACTTAAAACAGAAGCAAAAACGGTGGCTATTCTTCCAAATTTTTCAAAACTAAGAAACCTAGGGGCGATTCTTCCGCAACAATTTCTTCTCCAAAGTGTTGGTAAGTAATTCTAAACCACTTTCTGTCATTTACCCATTGCATTTTTTATGAAAGTTCAACCTAAAATCTAGTGTGTTCATGGTAGAATTGGGGGTTTATGGATAAAAACTAGGGATTTGGGAAATTGGTTATTTAGACCTCGAATTGGGGTCGGATTCCAAAACCAATTATATTTCCGGGCTCGGAAGTGAAGGGGTAAATGGATTTTGGTCCGAACCTCGGGTTTTGACCAAACGGGTCTGGGGTCGGTTTTTGACTTATTGGAGAAAAGTTTGGGAAATCTAAATTTATGCATTGCAGTTGATTCCTTTAGCAATAATTGACGATATTGAGTTAATTGTGGCTAGATACGAGTGGTTTGGAGGTGGATACTAGAGGAAAAGCGGTAATTGAGCATTGAGAGGCCCGTGCAGCGAGGTAAGTGTCATGGTTAACTTGGTTTGAGGGATTAGATCTTATTTGCCTATTTGCTACGTGTTTGAATGTTGAGTACAACGTATAGGTGAAGTAACGAGTACCTATGCGTTGTTGTTGAGTCATAACATGCTAGTGAGTCTTATCCATAAATTTTAGCTTTCTGTGATCATATTATTCATGCTTAGACTAGTTTATTATTAATCATATTATCCATGCTTAGATTAGTTTATTGTTATGTTGAACGTTCTTATCATATGTACGGATTTTCGTATTGATTTAGTATTGACTCAAGTTCGAGGTTGATGTAGAACCAAATGTTGAAGTAAGACTTGTTGTTGATATTTCTATCTCTCTATTGATATTGTTCATTGTTTTGGTGAGGAAGAGTGTTAAAGCATGAAGAGTGATGCCATGCAATATTTTGGTGAGTGAGAGTTAATGCACGAAGGGTGATGCCGTGCCATTCTTATTTGATTTACATAGTAAGGCTGAGAGTAAAAGCACGAAGTGTTATGCCGTGTTGTTTTCTTCTGTTTATATGGTGTGGATGAGAGTTAATGCACGAAGGATGATGCCGTTCCGTTTCTATTATTTATCATGGTGAGGTTGAGAGTAAAAGCATGAAGGGTGTTGTTGTGCACTTCTCTTTACTGTGTTTAATACTTTCATTGGTGCAAGGCACTTTGTCTGTTGTTGTTTCTTTATTGTTATGATTTTCTTTGCCTTATACTCCCCTCAGCATGTTTTCCCTCCTGTTATTACCTGTTCAGCTTCTATTATTTGTTATTATGCCCGTATATTATTTAACTGCACACGTTTATGCATGTGTCTTGTCCTAGTCTCGTCACTACTTCGCCGAGGTTAGGCTCGGCACTTACCAATACACGGGGTCGGTTGTACTGATACTGCACTCTGCAATTTCTGTGCAAATTTTGTTACTGAACCGAGTTGAACCCAATTTAGCTGCTGGCTTCATCTGATTGGAGACCCAAGGTAGTCATGTTGGCGTCCGCAGGCCCTGGCTTCCCCTTCTATACCTCATACTTTACTGTTTCTTTATTTCGCAAACAATTGTACTTTCTTTCGGACAAATACTTGTAGTAAAAATCATAGAACTCTCGTGAATTGTGACTTCAGATTCTGGGTAGTGACAGTATATAATCAAAGTTGTTATTTATTTACTTCCGCGTTTGTTTGACATATATAGCTTGCTTACTGTTAATCACTGAAACGTAAAAGGTTTGGCTAATAAATCTCTAACGTTGGCTTTCCTAGCAAGTGATATGCTAGGCGCCATGACGGTCCCGACAGTGGGAATTCCGGGTCGTGAGAGCAGGTCACTTACACTACAACCTGTACGCAGTATATAATAAAACTTATAATAAAGTTTTATTATATCTCTGTCTAATGATTTATATCTTTGTCTAGTGATTTACTTGCAATCTTCTGATTGTATAAAGTTTGACCACGTACAAATATCCTTGTATTTTGCTTGGTGCATGTAAAATAAAGCTTGATTAAGAGATGTGTTGTATGGGATAAAATTAGCTTGTTGATGGTTCAATTGATGGGACTAAGCCCATTGAGTGCCTGTCGTTGGCCCCTAATTTGAGTCGTGACGAGCTGCTTATTATATGATTTGTCAAATAAATTGATATTTTTCCTTTCCTCATGCATCAATGTTTTTGTGGAAACAGGACTTCTGATTGCATCATAAGGCGCAATAGTTTGCATCACAAGTTTGTCGAATCATAATAGCAAGTCAACTCAATCAGAATAAGAAAAAAATAAATTCTATAAATTTAGATTATTTCACTTGATCCCATAAAATACAGTACGGACCCAAAGAAAAAGATCGTACAGTATGATAATACAAACATAATTTAATACTATTTTCTCATAATAACTACAATTCTAGTGAATTGACAGTGTTTTTATTCGTTCAAACACAAGACAACACACCACTTTTTATTTATCATACAAAAGAAATGAGAATTATGAGAGCATTTGATGCTTATTTGCAATTGTGGTAGCAGCAGCAATAACGTCTAAAGAGGCTCTTCTTAATGCACATACCCCTCTTTGCCCCCTCTTTCTTTTTGCATTCTTTGTCGCAGTGTTCATTAATAAAGCAATAGCCAGAAAATGTCTTGCTCTTCCTTCGGCAAAGTTTGCCCTCTGCCGCTTGCATCTCTGCAGGGAACACCAACTTATCACAAGTGTTTCTGGTTAAAATCACTTATTTGAATTGAAATATAGGAATTTCTTCTTAAAATATTGAAATATATGTATTTATTTTTGTTATAAGTTATAACAATAATGATAATCATTTTATATTAGCGAGTTCGTATATGATTGTGCAATGGCATAGCTAGGTGCTCGCTGCATGTACTACGAAAGGATTATAGCAAGTTAACAACTAGCGTACAATTAATCAATTTATAATGAAATTTTGCAATTTTATATAATATTGGATTGTAGTTTTGGGTCCAAACCTTTACATAGAGACAACTAGTTTGGAATTCGGGTATATATACCGTTATTTTGTGGTAAAAACACTAATCTTTTGGAATTAAAATAGATGCATACAATATCCACAAATAAAATGACAATGAATGAAGTACCAACCATTGGATGAAACGAGGAGGAAGCATAAGAGGAGAGCATGGAAGGTTGTGTAGCTCACTAGTAACTTTGCCATATTCCTATACTTTGGATATAATACGATCTTTCTATTTTCTTTAAAGTGATTTATGTTTGGAAACTACTAAGGGAAGATAGGTTCTGTAATACTCAAATGTTGCGCATGCTCCTCCTAGCTACAAGAGTACACCAGGATACCATCAATGAATACTATGACAACGAGTCAAGATAAGGCTGAAATACACTGTTCATCAGATGCATGAATGTTGTTGGGGCGTTGATCAGCCCAAAAGACATCACAAGGAACTCATAATGACTATAACGGGTTCTGATTGTTGTCTTTAGAATATCCGAGTCCCGAATCTTCAACTGGTGATACCCAGTTTATCTTAGAGAACACCCTCGCTCCCTGAAGCTGGTCAAATAGATCATCAGTATGCGGCAAAGGATACTTGTTCTTGATTGTAACGTTTTTCAACTGCCTATAGCCGATGCACATCCGCATGGTACCATCCTTCTTCTTCACAAACAAAACCGGCGCACCCCAAGGCGACACACTAGGCCTAGTAAACCCCTTATCAAGAAGTTCCTGAAGCTGCTCTTTCAATTCCTTCAACTCAGCCGGTGACATACGATACGGAGGAATAGAAATGGGCTGAGTGCCTGGCACCAGGTCAATACCAAAGTCAATATCCCTGTCAGGTAACATGCCCGGCAGGTCTGCACGAAACACATCCGGAAAGTCTCACACTACCGGAACAGTATCAATAGTAGGGGTATCAGTACCCACATCCCTCACAGAGGCCAAATAAGATAAACAACCCATCTTGACCATCCGTTGAGCCTTCAAATATGAAATCACCTTGCTAGGAACATAATCTAGAGAACCTCCCCACTCGATTCTTGGAAAACCTGGCATTGCAACGTCACGGTCTTAGCATGACAATCCAGCATAGCATGACATGGAGACAACCAATCCACTCCCAAGATCACGTCGAAATCAACCATACTAAGCAAAAAGAGATCAACTCTAGTCTCCAATCCCCCAATAGTCACTATTCATGACCGATATATACGGTCCACAAAAACAGTATCACCCCCTGGCATAGATACATGAACAGATGAAACTAAGTACTCAAGGGGCATATCCAGATAATGAGCAAAATACGATGATACATACGAATAAGTGGAACCAGGGTCATATAATACAGAAGTATCTATGTGGCATACTGACACAATACCTGCGATCACTTTATCTGAAGCGACAACATCTGGCCTGGTAGGAATAACATAGGATCGAGCCCGACAGCCATCTAATTGGCCTCCCCCTCTAGAGCGACCTCTAGCTATCTGGGCCCCACCCCAAGCTAGCTGGACAGGTAGTGAAGTAACTGGTGTGGAAGTCACAGCCTGACTCCTTTACTGCACTAGACCTCCCGAGCAACGAGGACACTACCTCTACATATTCCCAAACTCTCCACACTTGAAGCAACTCCCTAGTGATGGTGGTGAGGACTGACGGGGCTCTCGAGCACCAGGATAACTGCTAGAAGGACCTGGCATAGCTGAACCCTGAACCGATGGAGCATGGGATGAACTATGAGCAGGAAGGGAACTGAGAGATGACTGACCCTCACGAGCGTTGTATAAACCATGACTGCATGATGCACCACGGTGAACTTGACGAGCCATCTAAGCGGGCCTATAAGGGCGACCCCTACTGTGGTATGACTGCTCCCAGAAGGAACACCGCGGAAACCACCCGAACCTCAAGGCCTCTTGGCCTCCCTCTCCTCATGCTCCTGACTACAGACCATCTCTATCTGCCGAGCAATACCAAGCACCTCATTGAAAGTAGCACCAGATACCCACTCCCGAGTCATAAGCAACCGCAGTTGATATGTGAGGCCATCAATGAACCTCTTAGTCATCTCCCTATCAGTGGGGACCAACCAAGCTGTGTGACAAGCTAACTCTAAAAACCTCATCTCATACTGGGTCACAGACATGCCATCCTGACGTAGTTGCTCAAACTGTCTGCACAGCTCCTCCCTACAAGACTACGGCATGAACTTCTCCAAGAAGAGAACAGAGAAATCAGGCCATGTAAGTGGTGCTGAACCAACTGGCCTGCACCTCTTATAAGCCTCCCACAATCTGAAGGTAGCCCCAGTAAACTGGAAAGCAGTGAAGGAGACCCCACTAGTCTCTAGAATACCCGTCGTGCGATGAATTCGCTGGCACTTATCCAAGAAGGCCTGGGCGTCCACTGACTCATCCCCACAAAATTATGGAGGATGAAGCCTCCCAAATCTCTCTAGTCTCTTCTGCTCATCATCAGTCACAATGGGACCCACCTCGGCCTGAGCAGCTATAACCGACTGGGCTGGTAGTACCCTCGGTGTCTGAAGTCTATGTATCACCAGCTTTCGAGTACGCCTCCCCTGGCCTGAGAAATGGTTGCTGCGGCCGGAATTGAGACTGCCTGAGCAAGGCTAGTGCATATAGTCAAAATCTGAGTCAAGGCCTCCTGAAGGCCAGGAATCACAATGGACACAGTTGGTGCCTGAGCCGGCCCCACTGGCTCAAGTGTATCAAATACCTGCTCCGGAGTTGGAGAAACAAGTGGGTCTGCAAGTGCTGCTCTAGCTGCCGTACGAGCTGCACCTCTGCCCCTACGGCGGCCCCTATCCCAACCTTGGCCTCTCGTGGCCCCAGCTAGTGGCATTGGTGGTTGTTCGTCCTATCCAGTAGCACGTGTCCTCACCATCTGTTAGGGAATAGAATAACAGAAGCTTAAATGCTGGAATCAATAAATCCACATGACAAGAATAGAAGAGTGTGAAGTTCCTAAATTTCAGCCTCTCGAAGATAAGTACAGAAGCCTCCGTACCGATCTGCACGACTCTACTAAACCTGCTCATGACTCGTGAGACCTATGTAACCAAGGCTCTGATACCTACTTGTCACGACTAAAAACATAGCCTGTCATGATGGCGCCTATCATGGTACTAGGCAAGCCGACACCTCAAAATCTTTCCAACACTTTTAAATGAAAAATGAAATAACACAGGTTTAAACTGGGAAGACGTTAACACCTATGTGAGGTAGAGGAGTACTCAAACGGATATATGGAATGTAATGACAACAATAAATATGTCAAGACAATGTTACACGTGTACAGTGGCAAAGATACAATCAAATGGGCTACATTTGCAATTTGAGGACCTGGGATTTATTTGGGCGAACTGTGGCTATTTATGCAATTCACATATAGAGCTGATTTGGGCTTTTCTTGGGCGAGCAGAAGCAAAATTCAAATTCACATACATGGATTGGGCTTATTATGAGATACGGGCATCCTATTTTATATGGGCTAGTTTTTATACAATTTTTAGTAGTACATTTGTGATATCAAATTTGAGTATTATACTCAATTTTGGTAATAGGACATATGTAATTTACAAAGTTTACTCAGTACATTTCATAGAACATCAGAACACTTTATGTTTTTCTTATTTATATATAAATAAAAACTAGCCCTAGGTTCTGCCTAGTGGATTTAAAAAAAAGAAAAAAAAATCATTCAAACTCTCAAAAATGGGATATAAAGTCAGACTCAATGTGGAAATTTCCAAACTATGGTGTCCCTGAGTACGTGAGTGTCTATACAATACTAGTCTGAGAATACTGTCTATGAAAATTAAAACTAAATACACAAAGCTAAAAGATAGGGAAGGAGAGTCAAGTTCTACGAATGCCGGGCAGCTAGCTTGAAATATCGAAATGATCAAGCTCCGCAGCGAATCAACACCCACCGTGTCCAGAAACACCTGGATCTACATATGAAGTGCAGGGCGTAGTGTGAGTACAACCAACTCAGTAAGTAACAAGACTAAATAATGGACTGAAAGTAGTGACGAGCTTTACAGATATAGTTCAATTATAGAAATTTCAACATAGGAGGATAAGCATACTTTAAAGTTCGACAATTTAGGCCCAAACAGTTAATTCATGTAAAGTTCAATTGAAACAGGATATAATATCTCTCAGAAATTACAAGACAATGATATATGCCAGTGGAAGTATAACAGTAATGAAATCAAGTGCACAATCTCAGAGTAATAGTCACTCAGTCCTCCCATTCACTCCAACTCACAGTCACTCATTCCTCACAGTCTATCATTTCTCCCAGTCACTCGGCACTCGCACTCGGCACCAACACTCAGTAGGTACCTACACTCACTGGGGGTGTGTACAGACTCCGGAAGGGCTCCTTCACCCCACGCGCTATGACAAGCCAATCATGGCATAAATCAATAAACCAAATCGGCCCTATAAATATCCTTACTATCAGGCCCTCGGCCTCACTCAGTCACCAATCTCTCCAGTCTCTCGGGATCTCAGTAATCATGATAATCAACCCGAATAGCGATGATATAATGCATCAATAAAGAACAATAAAGACTGAGATATAATATGCAAGTAAAACTATAATTGAGTACAAACAACAATTTAGCAGATAATTCAACATGTAATACGACCTCAGT